TGTGATCTTGCTGTTTGGCTTCGAGTTCGTGGTCGTGCTGCATCTTCATGGTGGGGGTCAGTTCGCTTCATGTATGGCTCAGAGGGGTTTGAAGTGGGTAGTGATGCAGCTGCAGTGCGGCTTCTGGTCTGTGGTCGTGTCTCATCTTCTGTGTGGGTGTGAGTCTGCTTTTTACGTGGAAGTGTGGTGGTGGCATCTCATGTGGCCCTCATGGGTGTGGGTCTGGTGTCATTCATCATGTTAGGTACTCGTCTGTTCATGAGGGCGGGTTTCCACATGGCTGGTAAGCGGGAGGTGTCATCTCTTTTATTCATGCTGTGTGGGTGTTTTTCTATCTCTATGGCTTCTCTGATTATTCTGTTGTTGAAGTGTTCGGTTTTGGCGATAGTTCTGGTATTTTTAAAGTCAATCTCATGTCCTGTGGCTTTGAGGTGTTGGACCAGGGAAGAGGTCGGTTCTTCTTTTTTGATTGAGTTCTTATGTTCCTCAACGCGTGCACTTATTCTTCTGTTAGTTTGTCCAATGTATGTGGTGGGGCAGGCAGTGCAAGGGATTTCGTATACTCCTTGGCTTTCTAACTCGATTTTGTCTTTAGGGTTTCTTAGGATGATGGACAATCAAGTCACACCCCCACTAGCAGTTAAAAGGAAGAAGCAGCTGCAAGCTCACATCACTCTGAGAAGCACAGAGTTGAAGACAGAAGCCTGAAGATGATGAATGAGACTTCATCGAAACGTTGCCTAGATACTTCCAATCTTACGCGGGAGAAAACCCGAATAACCAAAGATCCACATACAAATACCCGCGAGAACCTCAGAAAATATATATATATATATATATATATATATATTTAAAAATACATTTTATTAACCATATTTTCATCATAAAAACACACTTCCACTCATTGCAGCATTTCAGTATTGGTGTTCACTCCCATTGACATATTTTCTAATTGTGTAGGTTGCTACTATATAATAATTGTATTATCTTTTTTGTGTCAGTCATTATGAGAATGCCACTGTCATTAAGTCAACCAATGGTTTGCTATGAGTCACGTACTGCTGAAAACTAGAAGTAAATGCTGGTTTTCAGCAAAACCATTGTAAAATGCAGTCATGTGGCTGCAGGATGCTGCAGACAGTTATAAATGTGGTCCAGTAGCCAAGCACCAAAAGTACAGCTATGACACTGCAATGGGGTGGAAAGCAAAAGAATTTCGAATCTGAGTTATAAGTATCCCCCCAGAGAGGTCTGTCATAACCTCAAATAGTTGCTAAGCAACTGGCCCTAAATAGAGGAACTACCTGTATATGGTACTATAATACATTGACGATTGGATATGAGAAGTCTATCTTAAGCATGGCAATACAAGGCCCCTCATTCAGATTTATATTCTAGAATTATGAAAGCAGTGGAAGGATTTGAGGAATGAAGGTGGAAGAGCAGGTGTGAAAATCTAAAATCTTATCTGACAGGTACCTAGGACTAAGAACGTATTTACTGCCAGAGTAGGTAAGTACTGACTTACTATAGATACCCTGGAGAGTCAAACGAAGCCATTTATAAAATTATTTAAAGCTACTTAATAAAAGTCACGTTGCTTTTTTCTTCAACTCTTAATCGAATCACCGTGCTTTCCTTTGAGTTTCCCACGCAGAACAGGATTAGCAAGACAGATAGAACCTACAGAGATCTCCAACAAGATTCAGTTTATTTTTAAACAACAGAAATATGGTCACAATCAGAACTTTATGTCAAATACAAATGAAAAAAAAAAGAATTTAGACAGTGTTGCAAATCCTAATCTGTGGGATTGAGGCAGTGAATCTGGCTAAATACATGTAACAGTATCTGAAAGCTTCAAAGTAATAATCTTGTAATCTCAATGTTTTACATGCTTCTTGAATATGCTGATGAATACATGACTATGAAAACTGAAACACCATATGCTGCATACTGCAAATGTTGTTCCAGAAAGTAATACAAATATGAGTGTGTTTTATTTTCTAAAGCCTCTGTTGGCAATCTACTTTAGCTAAAGGCACCTCTGTAGATAACATGGGGAGTACATTCAAATGTCTACCATGAAGTGCCTGGTAAGTTATTACGAAATATGTGGTATTGTGTTGATTGGAGGATGAGTTAGCCCTCCAGACTGCTGCCTATGTTTCCTATTGGAATTTTACAGTATTGAAAAATATTGCTGCAAATAAATAAGATGGTAGTAATCGATGCTTTGTAGTAAGCTAAAGCATCCCAATATTATGAGAAATGTGATGCCTTGATGCCTCTGGACAATATCTTGCTTCTCCTCAACTAGAGTTCTTAAATCTAGATGGGAGATAAAGACAAACAAAAAACTTTTATCTCTTCGTTTTTATAAACTTTTATAAACTTTCTTAATCAAACTTCAGCTATACAATAATGCCATTTTCACAGATAACAGTGTGGCTTCTACAACCATGTTCATTCAGAATTAAGTCCTGCTCATTTTACAAGGCCTTTTCAATTGTCTAAAAACTACAGCCAGGTAACCAGGACTCTACATGTTTGTGTGGAAGTACAGTATCTCTTTTTTTAAAAAAATCTTAATATTCAAGTAAATATGCAAGGAAGTGTAGACAAAGCAGAATGGGTTTTTGTAAAATCTGGTAATTCCTTATGACTTGGATGTTGTTAAGAGAGAACTGAAAATGTGCTGGGCAGATAGCTAATGTAGTGAGGATGAATAGTTATCGTGGCATATAGATGAAATTTATATGTAGGTGGTCCTTGCTTAACAAACGTTGCTTCAGTAACTGCCCAAACTGGTGATGGTGCTGAATGGGATCTAGCACAACTTGCTATGACCACCTAACCCCGGTCAACTGGCCATGGGACAATTCAACGCTACAGTGCCTCATTCAATTACTTTTATTATTAGTGACCATGTTTTCATTAAAATTATTGTAACTCTTGTATGTCTGGATTGAGTTTCTTTATTATTATTGGCCACGGTTCAATTGAAATTAAGTTAACTTTTTTATTTGTTGAAATGCCCTGCAGCAAGTTGTCCCGCAGCAAGTTGTCCCATAGCGAGTTGGCCAGAGAGAGTTGTCCCATTCTGTGCTGAATGAGTGGCCTCATACTTATTGTCATGCCCCTGTCAGAGTCTGAATTTGAGGAGGAAAACGAACAGCTGACAGGGAGTGGGCATGTGCCTCAGTTGGCTGTGGAGAAGGCTGGGGAAGGGCAAAGTCCAGCTGAGCAGAGCAGGGGAGAAATAGAACGAGGGAGAGGGAGTTCAGAGGAAGACCCAGGCCCACCCCATCTTCATCCTAGGGCACGCAAGGAGGACTGGAGAAGAGAGCAATGTGGGTTGCGTGGCTTATGGGGGAGGAAAGAGCCCTGATTCCCTTCATTAGCCACACCTGGAAATGAAAGTTTAAAAGAACTGAATGCTGACTGCAGCACCTGCTGGTAGCAAACGTGTCTTTATTCTGTGTTGTCTTTGCGTATCTGTGTTCCTGGCATCTTCCCAACTGTGTGAGTTTTGTCGTGCCTTCACGTCTGGAATTCTTGCTCCTGCCCTGCCAAACTAATTACCTCAGTTTGGCTTGATTGAATTTATAGTTACAGTTTGTGTTGACCATGTTTTGGACTTAATTATCTGCAGTCAAAGGCTGTTCCTGGGAGAGTTTTTCTCCAGCCAGAGGGTAACCTGAACATTGGGAGCAGAATTGGAACTAATAAAGGGACTCTTATTATCTGACTGTGTTGCATTTGGGCCACACCCCGAGTCATCACATTATGATGGTCACAGCATTCCCCACAGTCATGTGATCACCATTCGCAACCTTCTTTGTACTTCCTACAAGCAAATTTAATAAAGAAACTGGCATGTGACCCCATGATATCCTTACTTAATGACCCACAATGATTTGCTTAATGACAGCAACTGGAAGTCCCAGAATTTCCATTGTTAATCAGCATAGTTATGTGACATTATATTTATGACCATGTTGCTTAGCGACAGAAATTCCGACTCCAATTACCGTTGTTACATGAAGACTAAACGTTCTCTGAATCACAATTAAGAGAAAGTGTTACAAGCCTTTTAGGATGTCACACGCCATACTGAAGTAAAAACCTCCTAAACAGACATCTGTTTTGCCTGGGAAGAGAATTACACAAAAACAACCCCCATGATGTCTGTTTATAGCTAGTGTAATCAGTCCCACGTTTTTAGGAACTTTAAAATTTGCCAGATTTAATTCTTTTTAATTAAAAAAAAACCCTCTATTTATAACCGAGAAAAATAAAACTTCGTTTTTGGCTGCAATGATGGAATGCGTAATTTTTGAAAAATAAGAGCAGATTGGAAAACTTCAAGAGCGCATCCCCGAATTAGTCTGAACAATTTCATGACTCACGTCAAGATTTCGTCTGGGGTCTTCTGTTGCAGCTTTTTGCCCAAGCCAAATCCAAAGAAGCACACAGCAAACATGGGAGTCACTCCCACAATGGGGGCTGCCATCCCCTTATACAAGCCCCGGAAGCCCTGTAAGAAATAGTAGGTCGGTGGATTCTTTACTTATTAAATGTAGCTGGTTGCTCATCTCAAGCACAAGCAATAAAACAGGATTACTGTATGAATCATATACTGTAAATAGCAGCCGAGCAACCAACCTACACAACGTCAAGGATTACTTGAAGTTTCTGCCCAGTTCAAAGGGATCTCAATTCTTCAATCACCTTTTTCCAAAATCCCACTTACAGAGGGTGGCTGTTTAGGGTAATCCAGTTTAGCTACAGCAATACATGGGATCGCCTCTAAAGGCATTCGGAAACTGCAGCTGGTATGAAATGCAGCGTCCTCCTCCACTGGCATTAGATGCCATAAACATATTACCCCTATGCTGCAGAACCTGCCTTAGTTGCCAAGATGGATGCAGTTTAAAGTTCTGTTTTTCACTTACAAATCTTTATATAGCTGGATGCCAGGTATCTCCAAGGCTGCCTTCTTCAACCCAAACCCACCCATCTGATAACAACAACATTTAAAGCCCTTCATGGCTTGGGACCAAGTTATCTGAGGGACCATCTCTTACTGGACACATCTACCTGACCCACTAAAGCGGGGAGGCAAAGAATGTTGCGGGTCCCGCCCCCTAAGGAGATATATCTGGTGGGACCTAGAAGAAGGGCCTTCTCTATGGTGGCTCCCTTCCTCTGGAATATCATCCCTCCAGAAATTAGACTGGGGCCCCCATTCTAACACTCTTTCGGAAAGCCCTGAAGACGTGGTTCTGCCAGGGGGCCTGAGGAAACCAGAGAGGGATGGAGCCCATTAAATGGCTGGTATGGATGTGTGTTGCCGTCAAGGTGAGGGGGTTATTATTTTATTATTATTATTATTTCTTTTATATTGTTATATTATTTCTTTTGTTTTTATATCCTATGAGCCGCTTTGAGTTGCCATGTGTGAGTAGGCGGCGATATAAATTTTCTAAATAAAATAACAATTGTTACTCTTCTCCCATTACTTAGCGGTTAAAAAAGGACCGGGGTGAGAAGGAGGGACGCTTCTCTATCACAGCCTCCGGGACTCTGAAAGCGCTCACGGGTGCAGCTCAGTTCAGTCCTTTCAGGATCTGGAGAAACAGAATCCTCTTTGGGAGGATTGTTTTAGCTAGTGAAGATTGCAGGTTAGGAATTGTCCAGATGTCCCAGCTGAAATACAGGTAGTCCTCGACTTACAACAGTTCATTTTAGTGACCGTTCGAAGTTATACCGGCACTGAAAAAAGTGACTTATGACTGTTTTTCACACCATCATTGTAGCATTTCCATGGACACATGATCAAAATTCAGATGCTTGGCAACGGACTCACATTTATGACGGTTGCAGTGTCCCAGGGTCACATGATCACCTTTTGCAACCTCCTGACAAGCAAAGCCAATGGGGAAACCAGGTTCACCTCATAACCGTGTTACTAACTTAACAACTGTAGTGATTCACTTATCAACTCACTTAAATGTTTCACTTAGCAACATAAATTTTGGGCTCCGTAAGTTAAGGACTACCTGTCTTTAAATTTTTATTACTATTTTTATTATTACTATTTTATTTTGTGACAGATGTTTTTATAAACCATTGACAGCCATGACTGTGGTGGTTTAAAAGATCAAGACGCATGAACCCAAGGCAAACTCTGGCTTGGGCACATCAGAATAAATGGTGATTGATTAAGAACAAAGAACTCTTACTTTTTAAATACTTATGCCTAAAAACTGGACAGCTTCCTTCCGTCTCACCATTAGTTAGTTTTTCTCATTGAAAAAAGATCAAGCCTGTACTCCCAAGAATCTACTATAGTCTCAAGTATCATTCCCACACAAATTCATTGCAATAATGTACATAAGAATATGACATCTCTGGCCGGCACTGCAAGTGGGCTGGCAAAATACCTCTTTCACAAGAGTCTTTCTGAAACAGTCAAAGGTCCCAGCATAAAGAGGAGCCTGTCCCGGCAAAGGCTTGGGCTGAGTTTGTAGTCTGACCTACAAAATATAAGGAACATGGAAGGAATACAAAAGAGGTGCTTGCGTTACCCTCCCCCCAGCAAGAATAGCCAAAATGTTCCCAAATATGATAGCTAAATGTTGGAGATGTAACCATAACCAGGGAACATACTTCCACATGTGGTGGACGTGCCCCCATGCACTGAGACACTGGCAAATAATCAAATAACGGTTAGAGGAAATAACAAAACAGAGAATGAAATTTAAACCAGAAACCTTTTTATTAGGCATGTTAGAGCCTAACACAAATAGAAAACACCAATATTTAATGCTACATATCATAACAGCTGCCAGAATCTCCTTTGCCCAAAATTGGAAACAGGCTATGACCCCCCTCAGAAGCCACAATAATTAATAAGGTATACGAATGCGCAGAGATGGATAGACTGACGAAGTTATTGAAGGATAAGGAAGAAATAGAATATTATAAAATATGGGATGTCTTGTACGAATGGATAAGAAAAAGATGCAAAGGCATCTAATGATAATGTAATCCCATAAAACAATAAGATTTACGTGTAAATAAATGTAAATACAAATGTATATATGTATAAAATGCCTAGAATGACGAAGAAGCAAATACAGAGATATATAACATGTTAATAGGAGGTACTTACAAATGTAAACACTGCTGTAGTAATGGTGTAAAGTGTGGAAATTTGTTTTTAATTGTCAAAATGTTGAATAAATAAATTTCTTTTTTTAAAAAAAGAGGTGCTTGTGTTACTTAGTGAAAATATCCATCCACATGGATGGATGAAAATATCCATCCGCATCTGATTTAGTTCCCCATTCCTTTTCTTTTCCAAAGAATTTCAGAAAACAGTCTTGTAATAAGACAGACTATTAGCCTGTCCATCTCAGCATATCCAACAATGGTCAGCAGCAGCTTCAAAAAGCTTGGGTAAGTAGGCTGTGTGTGTTTTTTCCACCTTATCTAGAGATAGAGAGTCGAACCCAAGACCTTTGAAATATACTCTATCATTGACAGTTTTCCCATTCCCAATTCTTTTTACTTTTTAATGAAAGGAGGATGGGAAGAGGAAGGGAGGAAGACACAGTTCATCCGAGAAACAGTTGTTATCAATAGGCATTCAGGTCAATGAGAAGATCTCGAGATCTAAGAAGTAAACAAGTGTTTGTTTTTTTCTACTAGGATTAACACAAAGTACAAAGCCTAAATACAGTAGTCCTCAATTTACAACAGTTCATTTTAGTGACCGTTCAAAGTTATATCGGCACTGAAAAAAGTGACTTATGACTGTTTTTCACAAGATCATTGCAACATCCCCATCTTCACATGATCAAAATTCAGACTCTTGGCAACTGACTCATATTTATGATGGTCACAGTCAGTGGTGGGATTCAAAAAATCTTATTACCGGTTCTGTGCTTGGTGGGCGTGGCTTGGTGGGCGTGGCAGGAGAAGGATACTGCAAAATCTCCATTCCCTCCCCACTCCTGGGGGAAGGTTACTGCAAAATCCACATTCTCTCCCCACCCCACTAACCTGCTTTCCAGATCCGTTCTCCTGTGCAGGGCAACAAAAGAAGACCCAGCCAATCAGCTGGGACTCGGGCGGCAGAGCATAGATGGGGGCGGGGACAGTCAAGAGGTGGCATTTGCTGGTTCTCTGAACTACTCAAAATTTCTGCTACCGGTTCTCCAGAAGTGATCAGAACCTGCTGAATACCACCTCTGGTCACAGTGTCTTTTTGTGACCTTCTGACAAGCAAAGTCAATGAGGAAGCTAGATTCACTTAACAACCTTATTACTAACTTAACATCTGTAGTGATATAAACAGAGGCATAGAATCAAAATCGTGAAGTATTAATACCGCCTTATAAAGCCTTAGTGAGGCCACACCTTACAGCTTGCCATCAGAAGTTGTAGGGGCTTCATCACTGGAAGTCTTTAAGAAGAGCCTGGACAGTCACTTGTCCGAAATGGTATCACGTCTCCTGCTTGAGCAGGGGGGGCTGAACTAGAAGACCTCCAAGGTCCCTTCCAGCTCTATTCTGATCCACTTAACAACCGTGGCAAGAAAAATAGTAAAATTGGGCAAAACTCATTTAACAATGTCTGGCAAAACTCACTTAACAGAAATTTTGGGCTTAATTGTGATTGTAAATTGAGGACTATCTTTATGGCATCTCCTAAAATGCAGAAGAAATAGAAAATATAGAATGCCAGTAGCTTTGCTTCTAGATGAAGAGGCATGGACAATTATGAGCTTGACATTCCAGCCTGGGGCTTGAGCACTTGGGTCCCTGTTCAATCTGTTGGATTTTTTTGGAGGTGGTGTATGTGTTTTTATCTGGACACACTGTAAGTTCTTGGTTTTTTTTTAATAATTTTATTACATTTTCTTTTTTGTTTGGTTTTATATACTCTATCCAGAATCAGATTGGAGTCAAGAGGTTCCGCCATAGGTTGAATAAATTGAATTAACTGAATTATTGCCCTGGGGGCATAACCTATTACCAAGTAATAACATTCTCTAAATTGTCACCCTCTATCAACCCTAGTTTCTGTTGTCTATGGAGATTCTCAGTCATCCAGGTCATGGTTGTCCCAAAAGTGTTTTTTTTTCTAGAGGCAACTGGACTTTCTTGTTTTTCTTTGAAGACGTTTCGCTTCTCATCCAAGAAGCTTCTTCAGCTCTGACTGGATGGTGGACCCTTCCATTCCCCACCATCCAGTAAGAGCTGAAGAAGCTTCTTGGATAAGAAGAAAAACCAGAAACTCTAGTTGCCTATAGAAAAAAAAAGTACCTTTGGGACAACCTAGTTTTTGTTGTTGTTGCTGTTGTTTTGGTGCTTTGAAATCAGTCTTGATTTTTGATCAATAAATCAACATGTCCCTGAAGTTTTCTTAGCAACATATTCAGAAGTGCTGCTTGATGCCAAAGAAGGTATCCACAAACTCATTACCTATCCCCCAGCAAAACTGCAACTTCCAGCTATAAATCTTTGCCTATTTAGAGATTATATTGTCAAGTATCTTTTATCTCACCCATTTGCTAATATGTATAAGACAATAAAGAGAACATTATGGCATATCTGGAAGGTACCTGGAGACTGACTGACAAATCTTTGCAAAGATGCATGCGAAAACTTCAGTGTGGTCAGAGTGTACTTATCTCCCGACTTTTATTGATTTAAATTTGACATACAAATGAATATTGTTTATTGAACGGCTGTATCATTTTAGAATCCTAACAGGCAACGGTCCAATACAGGGGTTGGTAACTGTGATTTACATATAGAAAAGAATCAGTTGATCTGTGTTAATTTGGAATAGCAGAGCATCTAAGAATGCCAGATTTCTCTGCTTTTATTTCTGCTTTAAAAAAAAAAACCAAAATCACCTTTCACCTTTTTATTTAGTTCATGCCTCACTTTTCTATTCTGGCAAATGCTCAGGGGTGATTTCCCCCCTTTTGTGTTTAATCCTGTTTAATTCTCAGAGCCTGCCTCAACAAGTCCCTGCAGTTTTCTTGGCAAGGTTTTTAGAAGTGGTTTGCCACTGCCTGCTTCCGAGGGCTGAGAGAAAGTGACTGGCCCAACGCCATTCCGTTGACTTCATGCCCAAGGTGAGATTAAAACTCACAAGTCTCCTGGTTTCTAGTTGATGCTTTAATCAAACTGGCTCTCTCAAGGAGGATTGCAATATTAAAAGATTAATAATCAACAGAAGACAATCTCTTACATGTCAGAAGGCAAAAGGGTGTCTCCTGCAGATCTTGTCAGCTCAGCAGGCCTCTAAGGACAAAGGTGGTCTCTTAGATAGCAGGACCCACAACAGTTTGAGGCTTTAAAAGTCAACTGCAACATCTCCAATTATGCCCTGTAAACCACTGTGCCCAGCAATTGCTCCTGACCTAGAGACTCTGTTGCATGCATTATCCCAACAATTGAATTGGCATGCCCATCATGAGACTAAAATGGGTTAGCTACTCTGTAGCTCAGAATGAGGTGGCTGGATGGAGTCACTGAAGCAGTAGGTGTGAGCTTAAATGGACTCCAGAAGATAGTAGAAGACAGGAAGGCCTGGAGGAACATTGTTCATGGGGTCGTGATGGATCGGACATGACTTCGCAACTAACAACAAAGCTCAGTGTGTTTGTGATCACAGCCAGAGTAGTTTAGTTTCGATTCGTCGCAATGGTCCAATCCGAGCAATTAAGCTTGTTCAACAAATTATAGTTCACTGTTCCATAGGTTTGTTGCATGTACATAGGATTATGAAGAAGAGTATGATCCAAGGGTCCAGAGCCGGTGTGATCAATTAATAAAGTAATAAAGTTGAAACATATTGGCAAATATATTCTCAGCTACAGAAGATCAGAGTACCTTGGGACCATCACCCAAACATACACCCTTCCATCAACCACATAAAGTTGTTGCTGCTGTAGATTAAAAAAAAAATTGGAGAACGAAATACCACTGTATACATATATCTTAAGATCTTGTAGGAAAGGTATGTTATAAATCTGACATGTAAATAAACGTGGTTTTTTTAAAAAAACAAACAACTCTGCTCTTTCACACATTTAAACCGATGTCAAGTCTGTCCCTGCGCTAATTCTTTTTCCATGAGAAAAATAATTCTGAGGCTCCTGCCACAAAGTGCATTCTGGGAATGGTAGTTCGTTGGCCCTTGTTTTAAAGTATTGCCTCTCCTCCCCACTCGCGCAGTGTCTATCGGGGGCTGTAGTCTTTCTTCCCCCGCTCACCTTGATAGTATCCAGAGGGTGTCCCACGAAGACCAAGCAGACGCCTCCGAAGCCACCCGCGAAAAAGTTTTTTACGGGGCTAATAGGTGCCTGAGGGGACTTAGGTTGTTCCGCCATGGCTGCTTCGGAAGCGAGATCGCTCAACACAACTCTCCCAGTTTTTTGCTTCGCCTCTCGAAGCAACCTTTACCCTGCTTTTCCTTCCCCAACAAGGCAGAAAAGAGGGAGGACCTCCGAGATGCCTAGAGAGGCTGCTATTGTTCCTGCTTCCGCCACCCGCGATCTATATACCCTGGAGAGAGTTATTGTATTAGCGCAAGTTATTCCAGAAGAAGTTGCTGATGTTTTTGCAGTTTCTATTGTTCCCTAATACATAAATATATGTATTTTTCTTACATACAAAAAACACATTATGGGATATGGGCTTATATTGTGTATAGCTGATAATAAGTATATTGGTTTCATCAAAACATGGTTTAAAGTTGAAATATTCAGTAAAGATAGTCAGCCATTCACCCCTTCGTATTTAAGCAGTTGGTGTGTCAATTAAACATGGTGTTATGTCCTTGCCATTATTGATCCTTAGAAACCATTGCAGATAATCCACAAATAAACACAAATAAATAATAAACACAATAAATAAACAATAAATAAATAAATAAACAATAAATAAATAAACACAAATAAACAATCCACAAATAAACACAACCCAGACAAATATTGATATCCCAATCCTCATCAGAGAAGCTGTTGAGCGTGAACGGAAACGTCCAAACGGCATCTTATTTGGTCTAGAGGTCACCAATAACAATGATGACATCACAACTGTCCGAAACATCATCAGGGATTATCAAGCATCAACCATCTCCGCTGATGAAATACTTGACATTTCACGCATTGGCCGAGAGCTCAATAACAGTGACGGCTCTGTGGCCCCACGCCTGTGCAGAGTCATTTGCAAAAATGAATCAAGCAAACGTAAATTCATTTATACTATAAACTCACTCGCCAAAACCAACACCAACCATAAGAACCTCCGTTGTCGCCCTGACCTAACCATACAGCAACGTGCCCGCTCCCGTGTACTCCGCATTGAACTCAAAAACCGTCTAGACAATGGAGAGAAGGACCTGTACATTGACTACCATGCTGACTGTATCAAAAGTAAGCCACGCAACCCAATACTCAGCTTTTACCCTCAACCACAACCCTACCTCAACCGATCCACCATCACCCAAGACTAGGCACGCACGCCCCCAACTACCTCAATTCCAACTACTGCCGGCCTTAAATGCAAACTACTCAATGCAAGAAGCCTCGTGAATAAAATACCTGAATTTCTCATCCTACTAAATATGGCTAACTTCGACATTATATTTGTCTGTGAAACATGGCTCAATGCATCTCTCCCCGACTCCATTACCACAGTAAGAGACTATCATGTTTACCGATCAGATCGTGAAAATTGTCGAGGAGGTGGTGTTGCTATCTTCTATAAAAAATCCTTACATCTAAAAAATATCCAAGTTACCCAGGAGCTTGCTCTTCCTGAGACCATCATCTGTGAACTATCCTTAAATATCACAATTCGATTCTTACTATGTTACAGAGCACCTGATTATGACATCGAACATGTAAACAAGCTAAATACATTACTAACATGGGCTGCATCCTGCCCATACCCTTTTATCTTTCTTGGTGATTTCAATCTACCTCATATTGACTGGACCCTAAATGATTGTACAACTGAAATCATACACACAACCTTCTACAATGCTATTACAAATCTGGGACTGGAACAACTAGTAACCAACAACACTAGACTAAACAACTGCCTCGATCTCATCTTCTGCAATAGTTTGAATTTAATTTACGGAATACAAACTAAAGAACCCTTTTCCAGCAGTGACCACAATATGATTGACTTTTGTCTCAACATACGGCCACACAAAAATCACCACAATGATGTAATCCCCAATGGTAACTTCAAAAAAGGCAACTATGATCTTATAGACAACGATCTCTCATCCCTTGATTGGCAATCTCTATTCACTGGATGCAATACTGTTGAAGACCATTACAACATATTTTTACTTGAAATCAAAGAGTCATCAAACTATATGTACCAACAACTCCCAAAACAAAACAAAAAAGCAGATTACCCATAACAATAAGTAAACTTCAATCCAAAAAGAGATCACTCTGGCGGAAAAACAAATCTGGTCACGTTGCCAATTTCAAAAACCGATACAAAAATTTATGCCACCAGATAAAGACCGAATGCACCAATTATCACATTAAACAAGAGGAAAACCTTCTAAGCACCAATTCCACCCGTGCTTTTTACAATTTTGTAAACAACAAACTAAAAGACTCAAGGTCCATCCCTCCCATGATAGGACCTGATGGTAAAGACTGCAACGACGACACCATTAAAGCCAACATCTTTAACACATTCTTCGGCTCAGTATTTGTAAACAGCAATGGATCATGCCCAGTATTTCCTAGCCGTACCACAGATAACAACAATGATCTAATACATATCGATTTCACAGAAGACAATGTTGAAAAGCACTACGCAATCTAAAACCATCCCTATCTATTGGACTGGATGGAATATGTGCCTACTTCTTAAAAAAGCTATCCACTGCCATAGCCAAACCTCTAAGCATAATCTTTGAAAAATCTTTCAGGACCAGCTCCTTGCCTAACCTATGGTCACAAGCCACAGTCATCCCCATCTTCAAAAAGGGAGACCCAAGCCTAGTTGAAAATTACAGGCCAATCTCCTTATGCTGCGTCACCTGTAAAGTCATGGAATCAATTATTAACCAATCCATCATCCTCCACTTAGAGACAAATAACCTACTCTCCAATAAACAATTTGGTTTCAGAAAAAAACTATCCTGTAATCTGCAACTCTTACACTGCAAAAACATATGGACGACACAACTCGACCAGGGCAAAGCAATAGATGCAATCTACATAGACTTCTGTAAAGCCTTTGATTCAGTGGTACACGACAAACTACTCCTAAAAATAAAATCCTATGGTATCTCTGGACAACTGAATAACTGGATAGAAGCATTCCTGTCAAACAGACAACAAATGGTCAAAATTGGGAGCGTCCTATCAAATCCAGTACCTGTCAATAGTGGTGTCCCCCAAGGCAGTGTTCTAGGACCAACTCTCTTCATACTCTACATAAATGACCTCTGTGATCATATTAAGAGCAATTGCGTTCTCTTTGCTGATGATGTAAAGCTGTTCAATACCACAGACAATACTGCTACCCTACAAAAAGATCTTGACTATGTATCAGAATGGTCAAACAAATGGCAACTTCAAATCTCAACAAATAAATGCTCTGTCTTACATATTGGCAAAAAAAATCAGAAAATAAAATACAAGCTGAATAGTCAAGATCTTGTTGATGACCCAAGCTCTGTAAAGGACCTTGGAATACTCACCTCTAATGATCTAAGTGCTAGAGCCCACTGCAACTACATAGCCAAAAAGGCATTAAGAGTTGTTAACCTAATCCTACGTAGCTTTTTCTCTGGTAATATCACACTACTAACCAGAGCATACAAAACATTTGCTAGACCAATACTCGAATACAGTTCATCAGTCTGGAACCCACATTACGTATCTGATATTAGCACAATTGAGAAAGTCCAGAAATATTTCACAAGAAGAGTTCTCCACTCCTCTACTCGTTGTAGAATACCTTATGCCACCAGACTTGAAATTCTAGAACTAGAAAACCTTGAATTACGCCGTCTTTGGTCTGACTTAAGCATGGTATATAAAATCATACATTGCAATGTCCTACCTGTCAATGAATACTTCAGCTTCAACCATAACAACACAAGAGCACACAATAGATACAAACTCAAAGTTAACCGCACCAAACTTGATTGCAGGAAATACGACTTCAGCAATAGAGTGGTCAATGTCTGGAATACTCTACCCGACTCTGTAGTTTCTTCCCCAAACCCCAAAAACTTTAACCTTAGACTGTCTACTATTGACCTCACCCCTTTCCTAAGAGGTCTGTAGGGGGCGTGCATAAGCGCACCAACGTGCCTACCGTCCCTGTCCTATTGTTTCTCTTATTCTTTTATTTTTCTTATATGTACCCATTTCATGTATTCACAACTATGTATACACTTATACTTATTATCTTGTAAACAATTGGCAAATCAAATAAATAAATAAATAAATAAATAAATATATGAATCTCTGCCCTGCCCCCCCCCCCCCCACTGTATTGTGGCCACTTTGGCCAGAATATTAGAAGACTAATCTCTGCGTGAACCTTTTCTCTAAATTTTGTTTTTGTTTCCTTCATTAAAATGTGTCTCTACTGTCAAATAATGGGAGCTTTGCATATGTGATTTTTTTAATGAAAAATAGCCCTAGCTCATATATGGCTCTCTCCACATATGTATCTGAATTCTAAATAATACTAAATTTTTAAATAATTACCAGAATATATGTTTCCACATTACATAGTTACCCTTTTCTGTACCAGCAGAACAATCTTTGGAAAGCTACACACTTGACTCATACTTTTAATGTGAAATGTCTAATTTTTAATGTCCAACAGTTTCCCCTAGAGTTGGGAAGGTTCTCCATTAGAAAGGCTGGAGGGACACTGCCATTCAGTTTAAGTCAACTGTTTGCGCCCGTGAGAGGATTCAAGTCAAGATAGTGGCTGCAACTACACAAGTGAAGCTCTGCCTCTTTTTTGATCTGCACCATTCATGCAACACATTAAAAGAAAGCTCAGATTTTTTTATCTTTGATCACCCAGTTACAGGCAATATCTTGATTTTTGGGAATTCCCCCGTCCCCTCGCAGAGCTTTGCCTACAAAGTTGGTTTACATTTCCCAGAATCCTGAACCAGGATTTGTTTCCTGGAGATTGACGCTAACTGCGCCAATCAATATAAGATCAGCAAAGAATTCTGGATTAAATGAATGAATGAATTATTGTAGGGTAACATCCTTGAGTTGGTCAGCTTCTTAATTCTATTACCAATTTGAAAATAAGCCATTCTTCTGCTCCTTTAACAGTTCCCTTACTTAGAAGAAACAAAAAATAGGTAGTAGGAACAACAAGAAATGTTGCTGAGGAGGCAAAAGAGATTAGTAGAGCATTCTTCCTCAGGGGCTCAAATGCCTCATTTAGCACATTCTAAACACCA